CAAACTGGGGCTTTGGTTTAGGAAGAGGCTAGCTCCACTTATTTGATATATTCTAGCCTATCAGCACCAAAGAGTAGAAGTCTTCCTTTGGACTAGACCAAATAAAATTCACTTAAGCAATAATTTAAAGCTTTCTAAAAAAATGTTAAATGAAAGGTTACAAATTTTCATTGTCCTGCCTACACTACATAAAATAATCCATTTCCTTCTCAAATAGTCATCAGACCTACATGCCAAGCTGTCAGGGAAAGAAGGAGGAGAAAATAGTGTTACATCTACAATGTGATTAGACTTCTGAAAACATCTAATTTTCTGAAATATTATTTATGTAGTGCCCAAAGTGTGCTGTGTATCAGGTCTTAAATCATCTGTATGAAATGTCACTTCTTTCAATTACAAAAAATCTTCAAAAGATCTACACACAATTTGCTTCAGAAGACTCCAGAAAAGATCCATATGTTATACACTACACTGCATTCAACTTTACATTTTATGTTTACTTAAAAAGGTTTCTCTTGCATTTCCCATGCAACAGTTAGATGCTTTCTTATGTTCTTAAAAATCGGACAAAAATCTATTCAGCAAAATTATGAATGACTAGGGTTGTACTGCTTCTTGCAATCATGTATCTATAGTAAAATTTACATATATTACCTTTGATTCAAAGTTTCACTGTCAAGGAATTCTGTGGTATATCATTCCCCAAATCATGGCAAAGAAGCCAGGAAATCCATGAGGTTGACTTCACAGATTTTCCAGGAAACTGACACAGAGGCCTGGTCTACACTACCCCCCCACTTCGGACTAAGGTACGCAAATTCAGCTACGTTAATAACGTAGCTGAATTCGAAGTACCTTAGTCCGAACTTACCGCGGGTCCAGACGCGGCAGGAAGGCTCCCCCGTCGATGCTGCGTACTCCTCTCGCCGAGCTGGAGTACCGGCGTCGACGGCGAGCACTTCCGGGATCGATTTATCGTGTCTAAACCAGACGCGATAAATCGATCCCAGAACATCGATTGCCTGCCGCCGGACCCTCCGGTAAGTGTAGACGTACCCTTTGTGTAGAATATTTTTTGGAGGGAGAGGGGAGCTTCCCTACACCCACCCCAAATTCTGCATGGATTCCAGAGAGTCAGTCTTATGGAGGAGTTACAGGACCAACTGAACATAAATTGCTATAAAATGTAGTATTTGCTCTCTATTTTAAATGTGCCCTTCTAGAATACAGATAAGAGGCATAAGGCTATTAATCACATTTTAGAACATGAGAAGCAAGGCCACTGTGTTCTTGTTTACAGTATTTGCTTTTTTTTTTTTTTTTTTTTCAAAATAAGTATTAACTTACAGAAATACAGCCTAATGCTAAGTAGCCCATATAGATAATCTAGTGCAGTTTTATGATTATCATCCATGGAATACCTGTTCTAAGAGATCTTTTAAAAATATTAATGTACAAAACCAGAGGGACTGGAGAAGTTCATCACCCAACTGTCCAGCCATTACCATCCATCAAGGTATCCTGTTTGATACTAAAAGACTTATAGGAACACAGTCAACTTGAAATCTAGTAAATTAAAAAAAAAAATTAAAAGCAGTTTAAGGTTCTATGGCTGCTGACCTCCCAGTGGTTTCAAAATTACATTTTCTTATTTTTGAAAAGTGTGTATTTCCCCATCCAGTGAAAGATTCATGTGAACAGAGGAAAGACTGAAGAAGACTATACACAAAGTGCTACAAAATGCACAAACTACACAGTCTGGAAAAAAAAAATTAAAATTTTGGTTAATTTACAGTAAGCTGAGGTGTTATAATAATAGATAAATTTCAGTGTTATTTTTAAGATGACGTCCCTATAAAAACAGAAATAAACTTTTTACATGGTATGTTTTACCAATACTGTATTACAATCTTCTAAGAAAGCTGTCTACCTAGTCTTTCGTTCATCTATTACTACTACTGTTATTTAACATTTATATTATGATACTATCTAGAGACCTCAACTAGGTTGGGACTCCACTGTGATAGGCAATGAAGGACACATATTAAACAACAGTTCCTGCCTGAAAGAGCTTACAATTTAGTGGGCTTTGGAGAGTCTCCCCTGTAGCCCTATAAAGTCAATTGGCATCTTCTTACTGACATCAATGGGCTTTGGATCAGACCCCAATACCCAAGGTATCAACAGTGAAACTACTGTAATTTTATTCTTGTTTGTGATAACCAACTACTTTAAAACATTTAGCTTATGATGAAAAGATAATTAAAATACACTGGGCATAATCTTGAAAAAAATTGGATGGATGCTTTTTTGAAAAATATGATTATGTTAGCAGCTTGCCTACAAACTGAGGTTACCTAGAAATGTAATATATTGTAATTGTTTTCCAAACATTGCACAGTAGTGGCAAAGCTATCATTTTACTTTTGTCTTTGTACTATTTTGTTGGCAGTAATTAAGTAGAAATTAATTTATCTACTTCCAGAGTCTTGGTTCTTTTGTCTTGAAAGAACATGTTTAAAAATATTCTGCTCCATCACCAGCAGCAAAAGCTATGATGCAACTGACTGCATTCTCCACAACTGCACAGTTGTGGGGGGAACTCCACAGGAGTCAATGCCATTTGAGGTAATTAGAGGGTGCACACTAGATAAAGCTCCTGTAATGGCATGAAATCTAATGAAAGATTAAAAGAAATGGGTGTGTGTGTAGAGATATGAAGGAAAACTGAGTGAAAGAAATAACATTCTTCTAATTTTAATCTTAGGAGTATTTAGACACCAGTAAAAGGAAATTCATTTTATTAAATATATATATTTTCTTAATTTGACAGTGTCTTGACTGCTGTAAGCAAATTTTACAGTCTCATTTAAAACAGTTTATTCACATCACTGTATACAATGTGGCAGCTCCATTAAAGTTAATAGAGGAATAAATATTCAGAGTATAAAATAAAGATTTTAGTAACTATTGGCTTCTGTCTCTTATTGGTAATACAACAGAAATGTAAAATACTATGTCCAATTCACCAAAATTTGAGTGCTGGAATAAAACAGATCTCCAACTTCAAACAGCATAATAATAATTCCATTCTACATATAACTCCAAAGTTCTTCCATCTTGAAACAAGACCTGTCAGACCAGAAAAACCTGAATGAATGTTGACAAAGAAGAATTAAATGATTAACAGTGAAAAGGAACTAATTTATGTTAGCTAATTATATTCCACTTTTAACTAGGGAAACTAAGGATTCTGTTCTACAGGAATATCTTATTTCTGTTGTACAAAAAAAGTCTCAGAATAAATTATAACTAAGGTAAATATGCTATTGCAGGATCTTCATGCAAATTTATATTACTTCTACTAAGCAGTCTTCAATTATAATAGCACTTATAATAGCTTCCTCAGATCAACATATTTCTAGGAAAAGATTTCTGACAACTCACAATTTTTTACTGTACTGTGATATTAGTGTTGTTTGAATTCCCAGGGCATGATGTGAACACACAGTTCTGTCTGTGCACCTGCACTGCTTTACAATCTCTATATTAGATTTGTGCTCTACTAATATATTGTTTTTTCTCTCATGAGTATGACATTTTGGCTACAGATAAAGTAGAATGGTGGCAAAACAACTTAAGTAACATTCAGCAATGTAAACTATCACATCATTTATGAAATATAATACATTGCATTGGTCACAAACATGTATGGAGATGATGAAACAGATGGAAATTGGGAAATCATAATGCAGAATATTCAAGATCTAAGAGCCAATTTCTCTTTTGACTGAACATACATAAGATATATTAAAGTAATAAACAGTGTCTCCTTTTACTAACCAATAAGGTAAGCAATTCAAGTTCCTCTTGCACTCAGCTGTAAACGCTACAAACACGTATATACCCATTCACCACGAGGGGTGGCCTGCTATTCCATTTCTTATTTAAACCTAACCACGATGAAGCAGACTAAATTAAACGCAGCACCATTTGGCAGACATGGCAGAGGACATTTGTTTTCTAGAAGTGCCCAGCACCCAACACAGAGTAGTACACCCATGGGATTCTCTTTGATGGCCCTGCCCTTTGCCAACAGCAGACGTGCTTAGCTGTCTTCATCCTGAAACCCCCTTCCCAATAGCTGACATTTACCCTTACAAAGCACAGCAAATGACAGCAAGAAGAGTTATATAAGTGAATACGTTATTACATGGGTACTGCCCTAACACGCGCTTACCACGTAACGCACGGACGTCTAAATACCAATCTGCGGCCTCGAGCCAAGCTGCCTAACCCAGGTGCAGCCCGGGGCCAGCAGGGGCCCTTCTCGCTCCGGCACAGAAACCAGCGCCCCGCCCGTTATCTGCTCCCCTGCCCGCCGCTCTCGCTCGAAGGGGCCCTTTCTTCCCCCACACCGGAGGCCCGAACGAGAAGGGGGAGGCGGCTGCAGGTGCGCTCTCCCGGGCAGGGAGCTGAGGGGCTGCCCCCGAGGAGCGCTAGCACTAGGGAGCCCAGCGGGAAGCGGGTGGCGCAGTCGCGCCATCGGCTGAGGGACAAGCCGAGATGCGCTTCCCGAGCGGAGAGAGGGAGTGAGGGAGGATTCGCCTGCCACCCCACCCCCCGCGACCGAGCGCCCCTCGTACCTGAGGGATCGGGCCCGGCGCGGCGTCCCCCGCCGCAGCCAGCCGGGGACGGGGGACGGGGGCACCACGGGCTCGCGCTGCTAGCTCCTGGTGCCTTCACAAAACAACAAACAACCAGCAGCAGGGGAAGCGGCGCCTGCGCATCGCTGCAGTGCCCGAGCACCCTGGCAAGTGTAGTCCGCTCCCCGCTCACCCACTGCGAGCCGAGGCCGGGGGGAACTACCGAGCCCAGGCAGCAGCGGGGCGGCGGCGCAGAGGTCAAAGGGCAACGAGGCTTGTCAACAAAGGAACCGTCAGCGGCTCCTTGAGGGGCTGGTGCTATGGCAACGCCGCACGCCCCCGACGCCTGAGCGCTGCAGCGCTGGGGCCACGGTCCGGAGCCGGCTGCAGCGCCTTGGACAGCAGCAGCGGCCAGGCTGAGGCGGACCGTGGTAAGCAGTGGCAGAGCGCGCCGGCCCGGCCTGTCGCCGTGGGTAGTTGGCGCCTGTTCGTCACAGAGCGTGAGAGGGGGGGTAAGGCCGCGGCCCCACTCCCGGCGCTGTAAGCGATTGTCCGTCCGTGCCCGGCTCGGCTCGGCGCCGGAGGCGGCCGGCGGGACAGGCCGCATTTCTCAGCTGGAGGAGGCAGGAGAGGGTAAAGTCCGTGTCGTGACGGCCGGCTGTGCTCGGCGGGAGGCATTTTAAAGATGGGGAAGAAAGGGATAAAAATATCCCTGCTGTGTAAAACAGGCATTTACAGAATCGGATCAGGAGACGAGACATTCCCCTGCACTTACTTTTAATGCCAGACAGTGGGCACGGATATTTAACAGCCAGTGCAGCTCGGAGGACGTGACCGTGAAAGTGGCTGTGTAAACTCCAGACTTCATGCCAGCGTATTGGCTCATCTGAAAGGAATGCAACAGGGAAAGATTAGTGATAAGGAAACTGGATATTTAAAGTGTTGCCAGTTTTAATCTATCATTGTATTAGCAGCGAAGGTAAATAAATGGTTTTGTTCAGGATTTTTTAAAATTGACAGTATCCCACTTACATCTAAAGTTTAATCTAAACCAGTCAATTTATATGTTAGAGAGACAAGGTGAGGCAAACAGGCAATAACTTATTGGACCAACTTCTGTTGGTAAAAGACAAGCTTTTGAGTTTACACAGAGCTTTTCTTCAGGTCAGCTGAACCTCTAAAGGTCACCAGACTGGAATGACTTATTTCATCAAAATGAATTAATACAATTCTGGATCAGTTCTTATACCACGCACATCACCATAGTATCAGCGCACCCTCCAGTCATGCATTAAACCACATGACTAACATCTGCCATACATGTTCTCTCATCCTCTCCCTAGGGGGAGAAGTGTACAGTACAGTGTCTTGTTTTGGTACGGCTTTTTTTGTGGATAGTAGGCAGGAGTTAATATGCAAGTTACATATTTGTAAGAAAAGGCAAATCAAAGAAAATACCAAACCTTTCACTTGAGAAATTTAGAGAATAGATTTTTAAAATATATTGACAAGGGATCTGTCTGTCGTCAGTTCAAACTGTGGAAATTGCCTTCTCTGAAAAAAAATTACTAAACCACCTATCTAAACTCCACAACAAAACAGTTGTTTATAGAAATACAGAAGTTCAGCAAGTTAATCCTTAGTACACACTCGCCTTAGCATGGGGGGGGGGGAAACTATCCTTTTGTGGACTTCATTTGAAAAACAGCAGTATAGAAAAGTTTGTAGGACTGGCATTTCAGTAGTTTTCTTCTCTAGAGTCATTCGTTTATCATGCATTTAAAAATAAATAAATAAATAAGCTGAGTGCTGGTTTCCTATTTTACCTTTCATATAACACTTATCAGTTAGAAAAGGTTGGTAAAGTAAATCTGGCAACCCTTAAATTCTCTTATAAAGGAATCAATTTTGCACTTCTATGGTTTTATACATGTTCAAAGCATGGGATAGTTATTAAGGCCTTCTGTAAACTCAGGAATATCCCCAATTCAGTAATGAAGAGTGCAAACCCCACCTTGTCCTTGTCTAGTTATACTTAGTTGCACTGGTATTGAGCCCTATGCCTACTGCTGGCCATTGATTGCTGAATCATAAAATCATAGGACTGTAAAGGATCCTGAGAGGTCATCTAGTCCAGTTCCCTGGACTCATGACAGGACTAAGTATTATCTAGACTAGTGTTTCCCAATCCTGGGACATCGCTTGTGTAGGGAAAGCCCCTGGCAATAGCAGAACCAGCATTAAGCCTCCCGACTCTGAACCTTGTGCTCTCATTCCTCCTCCACATCACACTGTCTTGAGCCAAGCAATTGCGCATACACAGATTAGACTGTTTTAGTGAAGCTGGAAATCTCAGCAAGGCATCAATCTTATGCCACATTTGAAAACATGAGGGAACTTTCACCTTTGACAGCCACGTGAGATCTTGGTTAGAATAGCTCATCCAAGGACTGCCACTTCTAGCAGTTGTCTAGTCCCGAATTATAGAATCAGACTAGTATTAGACACAGGGATTAGACAAAATATGGCAGTGGTTTTCAAACTTTGGGTCGCGACCCGGAATGCAAGGCACGGGTCGCCTTGCTCAGCTCCCAGGGACCCTGGTGGTCGGCCAGTAAAAACTAGTAGTCCCTATCTGTTCTGACACCATGCTGCACCCCGGAAACGGCCAGCAGCAGGTCCAGCTCCCAGGCAGGGGGGCCATGGGGCTCTGCGCGCTGCCCCCGCCCCGAGCACTGGCTCCGCACTCCCACTGGCCAGGAACCAGGCAATGAGAGCTGGTGGGGGCAGTGCCTGCAGGCGAGAGCCGCGCGGAGCCTCTTGCGTGCCTCTGCCTAGGAGCCGGACCTGCTGCTGGCCACTTCCAGGACGCAGCGCGGTCCGCGGTGCCAGGACAGGCGGGAAGCCTGCCTCTGCACCCCTGCTGCGCCGCTGACCAGGAGCTGCCGGAGGTAAGCCCGCACCCCAACTCCACGCCCCAACCCCTGCCCCAGCCCCCCCCCAACTCAGATCCCCCTCCTGCACCCCAAATCCCTCATCCCTGGCTCCACCCCAGAGCCTGCACCCGCAGCCCAGAGCCCTGACCCCGCCTCCCACACCCTGACCCCCTGCCCCAGTCCAGAGCCCCCTCCCACACCATGAACCCCTCATTCCCAGTCCCACCCCGCAGCCCTCACCCCCGCACCCCAACCCTCTGCCTCATCCCCAGCTCCGTTGGGTCACGGGCATCAACAATTTTCTTCTACTGGATCGCCAGAAAAAAAGTTTGAAAACCACTGGTTTATGGAACCTGAACCCAACCTTCTGTCTCAAGGGAAAAGATTTCTTCCAAATGTTCCATGGTGATATCTACAATATTTTTTTTTCTTTTTGAGAAGGTAAAGAACACTAATGCTAGATATATTTAAACTTTAGTGAATGCTGTAATTCAAGCAAATGGCTGGCTGGGACAACAGCCACCATGTCACATCATTAGTTAGTAATGAGCAATTATTGATTATTTAATGCTATGGAGTACTCTTTACTATGGAATGGAGCCTTCACAAATAAACTTATGTCCACGGATATGAGAAAGGTATGGTATTTTAAAAAATGTTCCAGGATTATCAGGTCTCTGCAATTTTCCACATGTTCTAAAATTTCATTTGAAAAAGAATTCTGTCCCCTCTGCAATATAGTAGGCCCTCCACAATATAAACTATAAAAGCTGCTCTTCTAAACTGACAGAAAGCCAGAAATAGTAGAAACAAAGATGTGAATTAGGCCCTCCTTCACTTCAGTGCCTACAGAGGATTGTATCAGTAAGTTACTAGACTATTTTAAAATTACACTTATTTGGAATCAAGCCATTTAAAAATAAATGTAAAACTTTAGGACAAAGTTTAGAATTATGCAAAATGCCCCCTTCTCCCACAAATATAAGCAGCATTAAAGTATGCTTGTTTACCCTTTCCCCTGTGCAAATTAATCTTTCTGAATTATTATACTGAAGCTGTAACATGCTGTAAGTGTTAGCATTATTATTCCTCCTACCCACAAATCTAACCCACTCAGAAGGTGTTATAGATTTGAGTGAAAGAATGAGTCTGAATCCAAGCATGGGTTTCACATGCTACATAACCCTCTTTTCATTGTGCTACTTTTTGCTGGAGCTTACCTACTTACCATCTTTAAAATAGCACACCACTAAAGTAACTGGATCCAGGTAAATAACTGAATAATATGTAAGTGACCTGTACAATGCATTGCAGAAGCATACAACAAAACTCTGTGAAAATTGGGAAAAATTCCTTCAAGTTTCATGGCTTAATTTCCCTGCAGCTTTCTCCTTCAGGAAACACATTACTTTCCATACACAAGTAATTAAACTAATTATATATTTATGTACTGATCAGATTCCTAATATCTGTTTGTTTAATAAAAGCAATGATTTAATATGAATCTAACTGAAATATTATTTTCCCTATTATTTATAAAGAGAAGAAACTCATTAAAATTATCTCTTAATTAGGAAAAGAAAATGACTTCTGCTGAGATGCTACCATCGAGTACCAACACTGAGAAAATCAAATCTGTTCAACTGCCTTCCTGTGCAAATCCTGGCAATCCTGTGTTTTCCTGTATGTTGGACCCAAAGACACTCACTACCAATAATTTCTTGACAAACCCTCAGCTTTTACTGTTTAAAACAACTTCAAGTGAATATGGTGCTATACCACCTACGTCTCAAATGGTACCATGTACCTACCATCCAAAGGATGAAACATTTACAAAACATTTGTTAACTTGTGGTTTGACTCAACATAATTATATAAACACTGCCATTGACAGAAGTAGGGTATATGACTACCCAAATATGCAGCATACTCTGTAAAATTGTACTATCTTACTTTTCTCACATATTTACTGAAAGGACTAGTCATTTTAGCTTTGGGAAAACAAAATGCAGGCTTGTTATTTTTGTTGTCCATTTTGGGAGTAAAGTGTCAATACATATTACAGTAAAACACTTTTTTACTACAAGGATCAAAAAGGATTTTAAGTGAGTATTTTTTAATAAATTTCTGTCCATCAACCCATACAGGAATAAAGTATATGTCTTGAAATGAATGTGTTAAACACAACACTTATTGTACATTAAAGAGCTAAGTGCAACAGAAATTCACCTGAGAGGATAGATCTTTGAGGTTAATGTTCAAAACAAGTGTCAGATCCCGTGTTACAAGGCCAGACTATTTTTTTTTTAAACTGATCAGATCCTGCCAATATTTCAACCACCTGCAACCCCAAGGAAGCCAAGTGAGTGCAGAATTTGTCTCAATATAATTTTGATGTGAGCAGATTGTCCTTTAATAGGTTTGTATTCTGCTTCAGTCTTAGTATTTGTACTGTGCAACTTACGCAGAGACAAATTCTGCAACTCCTTCCACAGTTGAGGAAAGTCAAAACCTTAAAGCTGTTCCCAACATTTTTTGCATAAAGGGGAGGTGGGACTGTACAGTTCTGCATGGAGAAAAGGTTCAGTGGTAAACTTTCTGCACAAAACATGGGGAAAGTATTTTGCATAGGTCAGGATAACAGCCAGTGGATCCGATAAATGCACTGATCGACTGGAACACAACACAAGTCTGAGGGAGGCAATGCAACAGTTTGCAGCCAACTTACTGGCTGAAATGTAGTGTCCAAAACCAAGCTATGCACACTGCCTCTGAGTTGCTGAAGGGGGGATGCCATCTATCCTTAACATCAATGTAGTTTTCCCCATGTACAGCCCTTTAATTTGAGGTTTGCATGTGAGACAAATGTTTTAATCTATAGGTACTGTTACAATATGCACCTTAAAATACTAATTTAAACCGAAGGGTACACAAATATGAAAACAAAAGTAACTGAACTTCTATATTTAAACATGGATGGACCATATTTTTAGCAATGGGTAAATGGGAATTCACTCATACAAATCTTTGTTAGGTGCACACGTTTGCTTGATAAATAGGGGTTTTGAAGGCACAAATATAGAGGTTGGGTTGAGGGCAGCTAAAAGTTGGGTTGGGAATTTTATGCAAGTATGGTTCATTTTGTCCTCGTATGTAAAATATAGTCTGAACAGAAGATTAAATATAAATCACATGCTCTGGAATAAAACATTCACTGTATGGAACAGACAGCTCAGAGAAAAAACGCATAGAATCAATGAAAACTTCAGGCAGATAATACCTTGTGAACATCAGTAACTGTGTCTTTTGGTCCCAAAGAAGTGGCATTCAGAATAAGTGAGAAACAAAAAGTTACACTTAAGCAAAAATGGGTGAATGCTAATCACAGCCCTGCATTAGGGATAACAAACAGAGGGAGAACTGAGAGGCATTATGCACAGCTGCTTCACCATGCTTAAAGAGGGCGTAATATAGTGTCTACTACTGGTTCTAAGGAGTGGCAGGGCCCTCTTGCATAAAATTCCCAGAGTGTCAGAAATTCCCAAATTGTCAAATCAGGAACGAATTAGTAACCTAAGAAAGAAATTCAGAATGAGATCAAGTAATGCATAGCTGTTTGCCATCAATGCCAAGCATACTCAGAAATAACAGTCAAAAGTTTAAAACAAGTATAATGGTATCCCAGACCACATTAACAAACCCAGTGGGGTCCAATTTTTTCAGCCTAAGGGCCAGGCTTTAGTTCAAAAAAGTCAAACAGCCACAATCGGTACTTTTGGGGCAGATTCTCTGCCCTGTTCCACTCCATTTAATGCAGATGGCATAAAGGGAGCAGAAACCATTCACATATCCTCTAGGGATTCTCCGGGCATGGGAGAGTCCCCATGGGGCATAGAACAAGTGTAACCTGCCTCACTGCAGCATGGAAGCATGTTGGGGTGGAAAGGAGCATGTCAGGAGCAGGGAGAAAGTGCCTTGAGCACAATGTGCTCTCGCTATATCCAGATGGGATGTAGTCTTTAGGGACCATAACCAGTTGGCACAAATTAAGGCAGCCTGCAGGCTGCTCTAACCTGCTCTGGGGCTGGAGGAGAATCAGGGATCCACAACTGGTTACTGGTTCTCAGCTTCTCCTCTTTTCCTCATCTCTAGGGCTGCCCAACTTGGTTTTGTTTGGGAAGATAGTCATATTTTGTTGGTGCTCCCTAGTCTCAAACAGGGCCAGTTAAGCTCCTATCCTGTTATCCCCAACACTCCCACAACCACATCTCCCAGAGCCCAGGCTCCAACCCAAGCCCAAATGTCTACACAGCAATTTTAGAGCCCCATAGCTCAAGCCCTGTAAGCCCAAGTCAGCTGACCCGGGCCAGCCACAGGTGCTTAATTGCTGTGTAGATGTACTTTAAGATTCTGGCAGGTTTAAGTGATCCATTAATAGGACACTTTATAACAAAATTAATTTAATGCCATTATGAAATAAAAGATCTACAGATGTATTTAGCCAACAGTAGGCTTGCTGTTTTTCATTTAAAATGCATTACTACTGACAAAATTACAATTGCATCATAACTGTTTGGTCAGTTCAATCAATATATGTCAAATCTTTTTGAATAGGTTAGAAACATTTAATATACATTGCTTAACACTCAAATATTTTACTGCATTTTACAAGGATTATATTAACCCTCTCCCAGACCAAGATTTTCCAAGTCATGTGCCTGATGTTAACTACCTAAATTCAAAGTTAGGCACCTACATACATAGCCTGATTTTGAGAGGCACCAAGCTCTGAAAACTTTGTCTTCAATGCAGGGCCGGCTCCAGGGTTTTGGCCGCCCCAAGCAGCCAAAACAAAACAAAAAAAGCCACGATCGTGATCTGCGGCGGCAATTCGGCGGGAGGTCCTTCACTCCCAGGCGGAGTGAGGGACCGTCCGCCGAATTGCCGCAGCATACCTGGACGTGCCGCCCCTCTCCGGAGCGGCCGCCCCAAGCACCTGCTTGACAAGCTGGTGCCTGGAGCCGGCCCTGCTTCAATGGGAGCTGAATGTTTTGGCTCCAGTTTTTTAAGAAAGTGTTTTAGGGTGGGTTGTTTTGGCAAATTCATATACAATATGAGCATTATGTAATTTCTAGTCCTATGTGAAATATTTCTAATTGGATGGCTTCTGATTTCACATCAGTTCTGATGGCTGTTCCTTTCTACATTAGCACTTTAACTTTGGTAGCAAAACTATTAACATGGTTAATAATGTTGACTAAACCACTGAAGTTGTTTTAAAAATCCATGAGACTACATTTGATTGCTTAATAACAGATTTGAAATTAAATATAGTAAATTATGTTCTGCTATTCAGGCTAGTCAATATTTCCTACAAAGAAAACAAATGAAAATTTTGGAAACAGGTAAGAAAATAAAATGTGTATTATTTACTTCTCTTTCTGCACTATATTTACCTAAATTATAGTAGTTCTTATGAGAAGTAACTTCTCTTTTACCCAATTTTATAACTGGGATGAGTGCAGCAACAAAATGTCTGGTGGCTTCACTGGCTTAGGCAGAATTTGAAATAAGTGTTTTCCTGATTCCAGTCTGTTAAATACACCACCATGCTGATTCTAGACTTTGTTAAGAATCTTGTGCAGTTCCATGAATTATATGTTGAATCTTCTCAGCATCTTGTTCTAAAGTTTTATTTGTAGGATCGATCTTGAGAGCAGCTTCGTAATCCTGGAGACCTAATATTAATACAACAAGCAAATTATTAATCCTATATACAACAGTATTTATATTTTTTAACAACTAGTTGGAAGTAACTTTCCCCAAGTTATATGCAAGTAAAGGTTAGGGAGCTTGAGTTTCAGATAATTTTACTGAATGGGATTTGGAGCAGAACAAAATATGGTCTTTAACTTTGGGCTGTATGCAAGTATTTATTTAATAATTTCATAAGACTAAAAATTGTTTTTAATGGAAATATCACACAGCTATATTAAAATCTTAAACTATTATTAAAACTTAAAACATTATTCTAAAACAAAAACAGAACCTTTTATATATTTACATGGTGCTTTGCAAACTCACTTAGTCACATTCTTTGCCCTAAAGAGCCTGCCTCCTAAGGCCTCAAACCTGCAACTGGATCTGCACAGAGACTTGAGTCTCTGTGGTACTCCACTGAAGTTATTAGGTATGTACACAGGCACTAAAGTCCAACCACATGGATTCGATTGCAGGATTGGGGTTTAATTTAGAATAGATACATGTACTGTTCCGATAAGCAGTGATGCAGTGATTACTGATGAGAAGAAAATAAGAAATATTTCTGGAAGAAGTGGGTTTTGAAGAGGAGAAAAAGGATGTAGGAAGGCATGAAGCTGAGAATGCAAAAAGAAAACTAAGGCTATGTCTACACTATGGACCTTACAGCGGTACAGTTTTAAGGTTACAGCTGTGCTGCTGTAAAGTTTCCTGTGTAGCTGCTCTTTGCCGGCAGGAGAGAGCTCTCCTGACAGCATAATTAAACCAGCCCCAACAAGCGGCGTTAGCTATGTTGGCAGGAGCCTGCCAACATCGCAATGTCCACACCAGCACTTTTGTTGGTGAAATGTATGTCAGTCAGGGGTGTGTTTTTTTCAAACCCCTGACTGACAAAACTATTACCAACAGAATTGCTAGTGCAGGCAAAGCCATAACCTGTGAATAGAGCAGTTTGAAAAGCTGTAACGAGTTTAAGGGGGAATAAGAAATTATAAAACAGATGTAAGTGGTGAAAAGGTTTATATAGTCTCAAACTGGATACAAAGCAATAGGAGAAAAGCCAACAAAATTATTCAAAAGGAGAGGACATGACCAGAGTAGAGGGAAAAGAATATGAGTTTAAATAGTGGCATTTTAAAAATGTACCTCATACCTTCTCCCTCATTTTTAACTTTGCCTTGTGAGATAAGAGTGGCATATTATTAGAAAGCTCAATAGATACGCACAATTATTACAGATTTTCTAACAAATACAGGGGGAAATATTTTACCTGTCAAAAATTTATACATTCCAGAATAAAAATAATGTTTTAAAAAGACATGTTGCTGATGACTTCATAAGAAAATATTTACAGTTTATATTTTTACATCTTTGGAAAAATTTGGGAGTTTAAGATTTTTCACTTTTTGCAGTATATAACTGTAATGTTATTATATAACTGTATTATTTAACTGTAATGTTTCATATTATACATATATGTATATCAGCAATAAAAACAGAAGTTCTTTAAACATTATGGCCCCAATACTAAAAAGATTTAAGCATATGAGTAGCCCTCATTGATCCTAATCGGATTACTCTCATGTAATTTTAAACACATGCATAAGCGTTTGCAAACTCAGAGCCTGAATTCTTACCTTCAGCATACAATTCCAGCTGACAAAATGCTGTCCCACGCCTCACGTAAGCTTTCACTCTAGCATCAGCATTGTCTGGAACAGGTGGTATCAGTAATTCTAGTGCCTTTACAAATAAAAACACCCAAGATATTTAGAGACAGATTTTCTGTGGCCTAACCTCCCATTTACAGATACAACTGCACCCACAAAAATTTGCATTCTCATTTAATTATATGGTTTATGGTGTAACCACTAAGATTTGCATTCACAATTTGTTTGCAGGTGCGAAAATGCAAGTGCAGTTTTACAAGTGCAAATTGTCCCACAATAGAGAATCTGGATCTTAGGTTGATGCATAAAGTGTTAACGATTATTTGTAAACAACAAATATATTCCATTATCATAGTCCAATATCACTAATAGTGCTACAAACAAAATATTGATCTCATTACTACAGTCACTAGGAAAAACAAGTTTAGAGCCTCATGGAGTGCTTAATTCAAAACAATGATTTTGAGGCCCATTTTTTCCAAAATATCCATATGTGTCATGTAATGACTTTTTTTTTTTTTAAATAAACTAAGTAAAAACACAGTACAAATTGTGCTGAAGCACTCTTAGATAACAGAACATAGAGTTTTTCTGTCTTTCCAAAAGCAGTGGTTGATCAAATATTGAGAAGATCCAGCAATCTTTTAAGAGAATTTTTTGGATTATTGTTGGGTTTGTTTTTTTTAATTCTTCATACTAAGTGCAGAATGACATGACAGATTATGAAATTTATGTGGGTATATTCTATAAAACTTTGTCACTAAAAGTTTTTTTAAAAGAGTAAGTATATCTGTTTATGTTCTTTTCTTGAAGGGCACTATTCTTTTATTAAAGAAGAATTACTGTATCTATCAAGTCCCAACTTGTGCGATTATACTGCATAAACAAAAATTTTGAAACCATCATTAGCCAATCATTTCTCCTTTAATGTAACCCTTTAATAGTCATTTTTATCTATCATCAGGGCTGACCAATCCAAAATGTTGACACATCATTGTCAGTGTATCTAACTTAAGCTGTTATATAGTGTCCATAACTGTTTACATTCTTGCTTGACAGAAAAAGTAGCTATATGTTAGTTTAATATCATATCCATGTTATAAGGAGATTAACTATAAAAATCTACTTTGTGTAATATATTTATACCTTAGATGAATCTTCAATGGTCTTGTGCAAGTTTCTCAATTTAAGGTGACAAGCAGCACGATTCAGATATAGTACTGGAATCTTATTATTTAACAGAATTGCCAGGTTATAGGCATTTACAGCTGCAAGATAGTTTCCTGTTGCAAACATTTTGCTGAAAACATAATAAAAAGTACATTTTAAAACAAGGAAAAACATAATACAATAGAGAATGCCTACCTATTGTAAACAATTTGCACTAAACTAACAATTTCAAACAAATTGAAAAAAATACCATTAAAAACTGATCATTTATGACATTTTGGATGACATAATAAACAATGTAGATACAGTCTACTCAAACTTCATGCTGGCAGCCAGGTTGGCAAAAGTTTAAGACAAAGTAAGGTAACACAGCATTGAAGAAGAGGAAAAGCGAGCATATTTCCACAGATATGGTGCAGACGACTAAAAGACTTTAATGCCAGACTTTTCTCAGATAACGATCACCTAGTCTAAACACCTGAATAACAGAGGCCATAGACTCCCACCCAATAATTCATGCATCAAGTTGATAATGTCTATTTGGGCTTTATCATATCTTTTATACGGATACCCAGTCTTGATTTAAAGACTTCAAGTGATCGAGAACCCACCACGTCAGTGGGTACATTGTTCCATGGATTAATTACCTTCCCTGTTAAAAATTTGCAATTTACATCTAGTCTGAATTTGTCAGCTTCTGTTTCCAACGATTGGATCTTTTTTGCATGATTAGAGAGACATCTGCTATTAGGAATCTCTTCCCCATGTAGGTACGTATAGATTATGATCAAGTCCCCTCTTAACCTTCTCTTAAATAAACTAAATAGATTGAGCGTCTCATATTATAATAATAATAATAATAATGTTAATATACCATCTAGTTGTTATATAGCACTTTTTATCCATAGATTGCAGAGTTTTACAAAGGAGGTCAACATCATTATTCCCATTTTACACATGGACACAGGGAGGGAAGTGATTTGCCTAAGCAGGCCAGTGACCTCGCAGGCCAGTGGCAGTCTTCCGAGTCCAATCCAGTGCACTATCCCCTAGGCCACACGCTCACTATAAGGCATTTTTCCTAGAACTCAAAGATGTGGTGTATACATTATTTGTAAATCATCCAGTGAAAACAATGATGGAAAATAAAATTCTACATGGAAGGGTAACATACAAACTAAAAATTTTCTACACTAAAAAATGGAATCAGCATTTAATTTTCTAAAAATAATGCATTCGGTAGTTATGTTTCTGATACATGATTGTAAGCATATCTTGGAATGAGTTTAACTCACTTTCCTTTGTCTTTCAACCAGTCTGGGTTCTTCTCCTCCTCATTTAAATCCTTCAGCTCAGAAAAATTAGCATTTATTGCTCTACGAGCCTCTGCTTGCTTATGGAGCCACTGTGGTAGGAAGATGTGTGTGCAACATATTAGCATTTTGTTTCTATAGGATTTACTTTTTGAGATTTAGGTTTTCATTTTGCTTTCATCCTTTCACTTATGCAGGAAATATTTTTTTATCCCATTTTTTGGTAGAAACACCTAGTTGTTGATTCAAGAAAAGCTCTAAGTTTCCTCATATATTTTGTTTCTAAATGAGCAGCAAGGGTGCAGTACTGCCTGGCTACTAAACTGTTTTTTGTTTGTCTATTGTGATTACAAAGAAGAATGTATCAATGCTGATCCAACAGAGTCCCAAAGAACAGATTGTGAATTTAGACTAAAAAATGTCATAATCTAGTTGGATCTTTACCCCACAGAATGCATTTCATCCTTGTATATGAAGTGAAATTTGGTATGGAATTCAATTATAAATGTATAATTCTTTAAAACAGTTTAAAATAAAAACAAGCTATTTCTGTAAATCTGATCACATCTTAGGTGAAAAGTAATTTAGTTGGAAACATTTCTTTTAATATTACACATAAATAAGATTGAGGAATCAATGGGAAACTGGCGTCTTTTCAGCTCCCATCCGAGGCTGAAAACAGGGACTCCCACTGTCGGCTTCCTGGGGGTCCCACTGTCAACCTCCTGCATGGTGCGGCTCCTGCTGTCAAAACTGCAGTGGAAGCCAAATATTGCGAGATCCACAATTTCTGCAATATCATGAATTAAGTAGGGCCTTACTTATTGTGCATATTGAAGGTGATTACAATAACTTGGTACAGTTGTGTTTCTTTTAAAAATATAATTTCAAGAAATAATGTGACTGTTTTTCCAGACTGAAATTTAACATAAATTATTTCAATGACTTAAATTTATAGTCCTATTTTCCCTGCTATAGTAGTCGTATTACACAGTAGAACCAAAGTTTCAATTTGCAGTTCATCCATGATGGAAAAAGCGATCAGTGATATAGAATAGTTTACTTTTCAAACTAACTTAGCAACCTGTACATATTCAGCAGGAAATTCATAGGAAATACAAACTTGGAATGTATATAACAGGACTCAAAGAAATATATAAAGGATGACAGGAAGGACCAAAGCAACATTCAGCACTCTACAACCACAGGAAATGGATAATAAGGGATATAACTATCTTAAGTTAAAGGTGGATGACCACTACTCCACATAAGTATAGAAGAGAATATATTTATATTGCAGTTAAATTAGAAGTGACCATTTCAATTGTTCACAATATCTCTAGTTTAATTTCAACAAAGGAAAAGAAATGAGAAGTACATATGACTTACTGAAATTACAGGAAGATTGGTAAAGCTGTATCAGTCTCATGTCAAGAATAAGACTTCCACGTTGTAACTTCTATTTCCAACAATATTACTACCAAAACGTGAGCTGCCCTGCTTGGCTTAGTAAAGCAATAGAAGATTCATTCCTATAGACCGGGGTAGGCAACCTATGGCACACGTGGCAAAGGCGGCACATGAGCTGATTTCCAGTGGCACTCACACTGCGTGGGTCCTGGCCACCAGTCCGGGGGGGCTCTGCATTTTAATTTAATTTTAAATGAAGCTTCTTAAACATTTTAAAAACCTTATTTACTTTACATACAACAATAGTTTAGTTATATATTATAGACTTATAGAAAGAGACCTTCTAAAACCATTAAAATGTATTACTGGCACGTGAAACCTTAAATCAGAGTGAATAAATGAAGACTCGGCACACCACTTCTGAAAGGTTGCCGACCCCTGCTATAGACTGTAAATGGCCACATGAATGAATAGCACAACAAGCACCTCTGAGTACAGTGAGAGCACCCTCGCAAAATGGAAAACTATCTTTACCTCTTCCTCTTCTGCTACTCTGGATTCTCTGAGAGCTGTAGGAAACACCCGAGATGTGAAACTAATTTTAATAGTACCAGCAGATCGAGGAGCAGGGAAAGATTCTTCTTTTAACTTCTCTGAAAATATATTTCCAGAACTACCAGCTGCAAAGATAGAATTAGAACAACAGAAGAAAGCAAATTTATTTTTCATTTTCTCTTTTCCCATCATATTTTCAAGTAGACCTAATTTAGAGTTTTATAGAGTAGAAGTACACCTCAAGTTTTTCTGTTTTGTATCCTGAAGGAATAGCTCTAAAAACATTAAATTGTGCTGTTTTATGCAACCCGGTTATATCGTTATACACAATTAAACTCAGAGTATGTAAAATTCCTGTAGGATGTACAAAACTTTTGTAAAATTTGAGTTTCATATAAATTAGTTTTGGTTTTCATATGAATTTCAGATACAGAGACAGATCTGGGGTTTGGAAAATGGGGGCTTACACTGAAGGGTATATGCAGAAGTCACCCAATCATTTTGCAGTATATTTTACACTGAATATCATTTAACGTTTTGAGGCACTTCCGCTTGTATCAGGAACTTGGTAGCTATGTTCCATGAGAGAGAAGATTGTTTTAATCCAATACGTGTGTGGTTTAGGAGTGTACAGAAATCACTATTAAATTAGCATTAAGCAGAAGCATTTAATGGAATGGTATTACTTGTAATGAAGAATAATGCCACCTCCTTCTACTCTCACCAAAAAGACAGCATTGTGTTGAGAGGCTCGGAAGGAAAGAAAGGATCAAAAAAAATGCTAAGAACCAAAATCTGCCCTTATGTGTGACTCAACACATTGACAGCAAGTAAACAAGAGACTAAACCAACTGGAGTCAAAAAGCAGAATAACTAGTTCAGTGCAGTACCTAGATATGAAGGTAGAAAATACCAGAAATGCCTAGAAAGGTTTAAGAATTGAATGTTTAATACAACAAACATAGTATCTAGGTTATAAAAAAGGTAAAACTTTATTCCACAAATACCACCTCTTGTAAGTATACTTCTAGCCTTGGAAGTTCCTGCATTTAGAGTTTTATTTATTTCTTGCTTTTTCTTCTCCTCTATTAGTTTCCTTTCTCTACGTATTTCCTCTTCTCTTTGTATCCTTCTTTGTTTCTCCTCATTTCTCTGCTTTTCCTTCCATATCTCCAGCTCCTCAGTGACCTTCTTTCGCTCCTCTTCTTTCAGATTTTCAATTCTTTTTCTCTCTGTTTCTTCTAGCTGTTTGAATTGCAGAACTATCAGAACATGTAATGTTTGGTGAAAATGAGCAGAACAGAAATGAGAGTGCATAAGTATCTTCCCAATTCTATATAGCACTATTATTAATGTTACATTATATACAGAGTTGAGGGATTCCAGAAAAATAGTTGGAAAAGGAGGAAACTGATTGGCTTATACGTATTAATACTTAAAATAACTCACAGACCTTGAAAAATATATGCCTTGAGCTATTTTAATATCACTACTAGAGGGGCAGGCTTAGAAAATTTTAGGAAAGTGTGATGCTCATTGAGTTGTTTTATTCTGAAGAACCTACATTTTTCTTAGCACTTTGGGCTGCTTTATAGTTCTTGATGGGAGACTCACAAAGAATATGTAGAAGCTTAGCATGTAACATTCTTTTCTTTGATTCAGTAATGGACCACTCCTCCCGCATGATACTTAGGAATACTTTGCTACTGTAGCTGCTACATCCTTTTGATGGAGTCTCTGACCACTTCTGGTTACAAAAGATCCTATGGCACTATTCAAGAGAGTAAGGGTTCTACCCAGTATCCTAACCATATTCCAGCTCAGTATCTCAGGGAAATGTAGAGCTGTAAAATATACAGTTTCATTTGAATACATTATTCTTAATTTCCCATTTCTCCTGAAATTTAGATGCTCATGTAAAATAGCTGCCACATTTCTACTCAAGAAATAACTCCATTTGCCTGACGCTGAAAGTGATTCCTGCATATGCAATCTTGAAAGTTCTAAGATTCTGCTTGATATATTTTTAAAAGCTATAAAGTTTTGACAGTAAGGGTAAGTAACCACTGAAACAATTTACCAAGGATCACGGTGGAGTATCCATCAATGACAATTTTTAAATCAAGATTGGATGTTTTTCTAAAAGATATGCTCTTGGAATTATTTTTGGGAAGTTCTATGACCCAAGTTATACAGGAGGTCAGACTAGATGTTTAGAATAGTCCCTTCTGGACTGGGAATCTATGAATATATAGATTCACAAAAAAGTAACCAGGCTTAGCATATTTATAAGGAATTACTCTGAAGAGGGGAAGCCAGGAACATAGTCATCTTGCATTTTATGAATATCTTAACAACACAAAAAGTTAATATAAATGGTCATTTCATGTGGTATGCAGAAAAGCAATTTGGTGCGAATAAAGACATGTAAAAGTTACCATTTTTTGTGAGTGGAAGCATTGTAGAACAGAGGTAAGTGACTAAGGATGAGCAGTAGTGCAAAAGCTGCATACAACCAATTTTATATTCCAGAATGAAGATGAATAAAATATTTCTTAGAATCTACATTGCTTAATCCATATATAGAGCTTGCCTTACATTTTGTGCCAAATTATTGCAATCCTAATCTCCCTTTAGATACCAACACCTGCCTGATCTCACCAAAAAAAGTCAGTTTATAATATAATGTGCTGACAGTCCTAATTTTTTCATAATTTTTCATAATTGTTTTCCTCTATATGGTTTCCAGACCTTGCAATGGATATACAGGTAAAAGAGGAATTAAGAGTTATGCAAACTCTCCTGCCACTTTAATAAAGATTACTACTTTAGAAAAGATATTTTTAAACAACATATTTAAACCCAAACCTGTCAAATTAGTTGGCAATTATTTAAGATTATATTTCTTGTACTTAATTATTGTAGAGTCGCATAGAAATTTACCTTCATTGTGGCCTCCAGAGCAAATTTTTTATGTTCTCGTTTTGTAACAGCTTTTGATTTTTCCTCTTCATCTGCCTTCTCTTGGGCTTTTATGACAGCATTCTCTCTTATTCTCTGCATTTTCTCTTTGTCACCTGGAAGAAAATCATTTGAGAAATTTAAGACTGAGGTTCAATGTGTTATTCACTGTGTACAGGAAAACAGAATTTATTTCATTATTGTATCTGAGACAGAGTGGCAAAAATTTCAGAGTGGTAGCCGTGTTAGTCTGTATCAGCAAAAAGAACGAGGAGTACTTGTGGCACTTTAGAGACTAACAAATTTATTTGGGCATAAGCTTTCGTGCACAATGCAACCCTCTGTTAATCACATCTTTAAAAGGGACAATATAAACTTCACTTAAACACAAATACTATGTTTTATAACAAGGTTCCACAAGACCTATAATCTGTAGAAATGTTTCTTTTTTCTTTTTAATTATCACAAAGAATAATTTGGTTTGGATTTAAATATTCATCTACAGAGTTTGCTATCCAAACATTGCACAGTACAAGAGACAGTAAGCAACTATAACAAAAGTTAAGCTAATTTATTTTCATTGTCAAACATAATTGTAATGCAAAGAGGAAGCAATCAGCAAGAATGGAAAATGGTGAAATGAGATATCTATCTATCTATCTATATAATCTAAGGTTCCTGGTATTTCTGGGAGAGAAAAAAACCCTCAAGAAAACCTGATAGTTTTCTTCAAACACACACATACATTCCTCTCCCCTCAAACGATTCATAAACACCATCTTCCCCAAGCACTGGAAAATATGGACATGCACAGCTGAAGTCACCCAAACAACCTTTACTTTGCCCCATGCCATTGCCAACATTCCATGTTCCACACAACATATACTTCCACACTTACTACATAAGAGGTAACCTTACAAAAATGAGTTTTGAAAACTCAGATTTATTTTCCTTAAGTCTGCAGTCATCTCTAGGATATTAGCTTTATACACATATCTCAGACATCAAATGTGATCCCTTGCCTTTCCAAAGCCCCATACTCTTGCCACATAGTCATTTCTTGTCTTAGATTTGTTTGTGTATATACGGACTATTTATGGCCATTTTAAATACAATAAACCAGACATTTCCAACAATACTTATATATTTGGAGGCAAAAGTTTGTTTGGAGATCAGTGCAGAAAGTTTGCTTTTATTTATCCCAAAAGCAAGTTTGTATACTTCTGTGGAGTTCAAATGGCTCTTCATAAGCACAAAGTCATTAGAATTTGTGATGAAACTGAAAGATGCACTTTCATTGAAATGGCTGTGAGGAATCACTCTCTAGCATTAAGAATAAATCAATCCAATAAAATGTGTTCTTACATTTGGAAGTAGCCTGTGTGTTAGCTATAGCCTCACATTGCCTAAGTTTTTGGTTCTTCTCAAGGGGTTGCTCATGGGGCAGAGTTAAGGTTCTTTGAACCTTGATTTTCTAGGTTAATATTTGTTGGTGTGTGTGTGTTTCTGTTACTCTGTTCAACTGGGGCTTGAGGTTGGAGAGGGAAGAAATGCATGAGTTTTGTTATAAAGAAAAAAACTGCAATGTGCTACTTCATGTATCTATGAATTCTTGTGGGGAAAGGGTTTGGGTTTTTTTGCCTGTTTTTTAAATAGTCAGTCTATGTTCCACAGCAGACAACTTACCATTTTCCATAACCAGGGATTCCCACATGGCCACTTCTTTTTTATATAAAGTGAAGAAAATGGTCTCATTTCTGATCTTTGCTGTACTACTAGTGTCATCAACAGGAGCATACAGAATGGCTTCAAATAAAAATGGAGGAACATTTACCTATAAAATGTAAATAGCAAATAAATATACATGTGTATTCATTTTAAAAGTGTTTTGTTAAATAAAATGTTTAATAAGATTGTGGCTAAATAATAAATCCCTAATGTATATTTTAAATATTTAGCAAATGTTTTCTCATAATAAACCAAGAAAATCATAACAGCTGGTAAGAGTGAGAGACGCCACTAACTAGACTGTAATTTGCTGTAGAAGAGATCATTTACAGTAACTTAACCTGTCTCATTAAAATATTAAAATAATATTTATAAATGAGTTAAAATTCTAGTATACAGTGTGAAACGCCAAACAACATTGAAAGAATTAGAGCTGCAGTGATAATGCAAATTATTAGTTGCTTGCAAATGCTTATGGTATTAACCAATACAAAAACTAGTAATAAAGTATATTACTTTGGAACACTAGTTGCAGCTTTACAATTTCCATACATATACTGTATTCACAAAAAGTGCAATCATGTGAAAAAAAATACCCAGCAAAGTACAATGAGAAGCATGGGACACTGACAACTACTTTTTAAGAAAAAGATTTAGTTTAATACAAACTAAAAGTGTATGCACAATTTCCCAGTAATTATTGCATTGATTACAATGTTGTTGTATTTTTTTTCTTGTTACAGTAAAGGAAACTTTTCAAAGCCATAAAAGGCAGTTTGATGCCCAACTTCCAAAGACTTCCAATGGGAGTTAAGTTCCTAACACCCAGTGATTGAAAATCTCTCCAAAGGTGCCAGAATCTGCCCTCGGTTTTTCTTGTATAAGCCACAGGGTTGCAGAGCTGTAAACGAGTGGAAAATTTGACCCATGGATTACAAATCATTAATTGATGGAGTTTGGTTTAAAATCCTGAGTCTACCCTATATCTGATTTTAAGGCAATAATATAAAGAAAAAATTGGAGGTAAAGGATAAACCCAGAACAATTACTACATGTAGTTAAAGTGTGATACACAGGAGTGGTGGCTGAAGAATATTTCCCCAGTCACCTATCATAGGTCAGTTTAACAAAAATACTGTTATGTTATGAATCAATATTTATTTTTTAATGGTTTTCCCCCATAAATTGTAGTTTGTTTGGGGAAGACAAACTCCTCTCTATCACTTTTCCCTTGTCTAATTCATCCATTTATGTATATAATATGCCATATTTGTAGCATAAACCAACATAGCTCCCAAAGGTTAATGTCTGTATCTGCCAGCTAGCACCCACGTACACACGGTGGTGGCAGTCGCATGAGTCTGTGCTGAAGAACAACAAAACACTGTGCTTGCGAGACATCTGCCACCTTAAAGCAGTAAGTCTGAAGGCTCCTCCTTCCTGCCTTAACAAATTCCATTCTACCTCTCCCCTCCAAATCCTTTTCAGCTCTCTTAAAGGGTTGCTCGGCTGGTGGCACAGGTTGAAGAGCATCAGCGACAAAACCCTGACCTCTGGCAGGCTTTGTGCCCAGCAGCGATCAGAAATCGTTGCTCGCGTTCACTTGGCTATTGCTGCCACACTCAAAGCGGGAAAAGGGAGAGACAGACAGATGAGAGTGGAAAGGACACGGGAGGAGCGATTCCTAGCTGGCGGAGAAGATGGGAAGCGGAAGGGGGGCTGCCTCCTTGCCCAGACCGACCCACAGGGAGGTCGGTGGTGGCTAGGGGCTCCCCCGAAGAGGCGAGTGGGAAAGGCGTAAGGAAGACAGGGCCTGGCTTTGCTCAGGCTGGGACTGGGAGCGGGGGACAAGGGCAGAAGCCGCCCCACCTTCAGATACTGGTCAGTGCAGAAGATGTTTGCCTGGGTGACCCGGACACCCCGCATCGGCAGGGAGAGGAAAACAGCAGTGTCCGTCTGCCGCCAGCTGTAATCCCGCACCCAGACCGGCATGGCCGCCGCTGCTAAGGGCGCTCTGCAGCGGTTACTAGGGGAGGGCTCAGACTTTCCGCTGCCCTCCCACTAGCACTTCCGGGTCTGGAGCCAGGCCTGAGTGGTGCCCCGCTGTTACGTAACAGGGGAAGAGAGCGGGGGTTGGCTCTACGGAGGAGGACGTCTGCCCAGGCAGGGCACCGTTGCATGCTGGGACTTTGGGCTAACCCCGCCCATGGGGGAACATTGCACGCCGGGATTTGTAGGCCCGTGTGCAGGCAGCTAGGGAGTGATGACCGGCGTGGCCAGAGGCATCATCCCCGCCTCAGGGGAGCGCCGAAGGCTCTAGGGTGACCAGATGTCCCTATTTTATAGGGACAGTCCCGATATTTGGGGCTTTTTCTTCTATAGGCGCCTATTACCCCTCACCCGCGTCCCGATTTTTCACACTTGCTGTCTGGTCACCCTAGAAGGCTTTAGAGCCACCAGGGGAAAGCCTGGTCGGGTACCACCTGTGACAGGCTGTGGGGCAGAAACTCTTCAGTCTCCCATGCCTCGGACCCCCTCCAGCGCCTCAGCTCCAGCTCCGCGTTAGGGTCTCATCTCACCCCGCGCAGACCCTCCCCAGCAGGCCTCTCGCCCGCTGCTGTACGAGACCCCCCACTCCCCCAAGCCAGGGGACGGAGCTTCTCTCCCGCACTCTGAAAGGCGCAGAGGTCCCGGCCCTTCAGCGACCGCGTTTGGGCCCAAGTCTTTCAACAAAGTTCAGATCAACCAGCGTCAGCTGGAAGTTGACGTAGCCCTTTAAAGTGCCGTCTCACCTCAGGCAGAGGAACTGAGAAAAACAGAGATGCTCTGCTCTGCCGGGGGGCCCCTTTGCATTACTGCTGGTGAGACTGGCCCACAGGGAATTCCCCCAGCTCCCGTTCCTGGCTCAACTCGATCACCTCCTCCCCTTTGCATTTTCCAGCACGCTGGAAAGAGGGGGTGGGTGAGATGAGCACACGGTGCTCTGGCTATTTTCAGCTGAGCAAGGCCCATGGGGAGTCCAAGAATAAACCAGTTAAACCTGCCATGATGTGCAAAGGAGCCTAGAACTACCGATTTAGCTTCTTGCCCTCCGGACCGGCACAAAATTCAGGAACAGAGAATCAGGGCCACTAGCACTTTGTGTTTTTTAGGGTATGTCCAGACTACCCTAGCGATCGATCTATTGGGGATCGATATATCGCGTCTCGTCTAGACACGATATATCGATCCCCGAACACGCTCCCGTCGACTCCGGAACTCCACCAGGGCGAGTGGCGGTAGTGGCGTCGACGAGGGAGCCGTGGCCGTCGATCCCGCATCATGAGGACGGGAGGTAAGTCGAAATAAGATACGTCGACTTCAGCTACGCTATTCCCGTAGCTGAAGTGGCGTATCTTACATAAACACTCCCCCCTCCCCCCCCCCCCCCCCAGTGTAGACCAGGCCTTTATTTTGTTTTGTGTAGTTTGTAGCTGGAGAACGAATAGGGTGACCAGACAGCAAATGTGAAAAATCAGGACAAGGGTTTGGGGGGTAATAGGCAGGGCCGGCTTTAGGCCAATTCAACCAATTCCCCTGAATCGGGCCCCGCACCCAAGCCCTGGTACCGGGGTGGCCCGGCTTCCCCAGGGGGCAATTTAAAGGGCCTGGGGCTCCCAGCAGGGGCTTTAAATTGCCACCAGAGCCCCACGCTGGAGCCCTGGGGAAGGGCTGCGGGGCTCTAGGGGCTATTTTAAAAGTCTGGGGCTCCCGTTGCTTCTACCGCCCCGGCCCTTTAAATAGCCACTGGAGCCCCGCCACTTCCCCAGGGCTCCCACGGCTATTTAAAGGGCCGGGGTGGTAGAAGCAGGGGAGCCCCGGGCCCTTTAAATAGCCCCCAGAGTCCGGGGATAACGGGGGGCTCTGGGGGCTATTTAAAGGGCCAGGGCTCCAGCTGCCTCTGCCGCCCCGGTCCTTTAAATAGCCGCTGGAGCACCGCTGCTTCCCCAGGGCTCCCGCGGCTATTTAAAGGGCCGGGGCGGTAGAAGCAGGGGAGCCCCGGACCCTTTAAATAGCCCCGGGCTGCTGCTGCTACCCCGGTGGGGGAGGGAGGAGGAGGAGGGGGCACTTACCGTACAGGGTGGGCTGTACCCGCACCCTCTGCCCACACCAACCCC